CAAATCATACTCCCTTTAGGGCTTGTGGCCTGTGGAGACCACGTGGAACGGAAATATCTGGACAATCCTGGCCCAAACATCTATTCTTCTGAAGCTATGAGGGGCTTATCTTCATTACCAAATAATCTATTTCAGACCTGTGTTTCTTCATACCATCATTCTGCACACTGTTTCTTGGTAAGAGAAAAAACTGAACTGAATCCAATTGCAAATTCCAAAGCCGAGAGTTCAAGTGATGGACTCTGTTTGCTACAATAGCACACAGCTCTTACTTGTCTTATAAAGTTCCTTGGAGGGAATCCTCCAAAACTGCATTTCTTCACAAGAAGAATCAAAATGTGCTAGATGATTCAGCCTGGTGAATGTTTGTGGTCGCCAGAACTCTACAAATGCCCTGTCCAAAAATGGAGCCCCAAGGAGCTCTGCAGGGGGGAGCTGTACACAGGAATTACCGGAGAAGCATGGTCAACATGCTTTCTGTGTACTTAAAGCCTCAAGGAATGAAGTTGTTTAGGAACAAATCCTCAAGAATCTGCTCGGTTATTGGTGAGAGAGGCCATTTTGGTAGTTTCAAATGGCATTACACATTTGTGGAGTGGAAATTACAGTTCAGTGTGTGGGCATACTTGATTGGACAATCTCTCAGTTGATGGGTTCTTCTGTTCAATTACTATTAAAACTCATCAAATGGAACAGAGCGGTTTTAATGCCTGTAATTGTTGTACAAAATGCTCTGTAATTGGTCTTACAAATGAAGCTGAAGAGCAAGATCAAACTCCACTGAAAATGAATCTGTCTTTCCACTGAAAAGTTCAAGAGTCACTTTTAAAATCCATTTTGCAGGAAAGTGTTTAGCCAGTTTCAATTCCATTCATTTTGTGTGGCAGTTTTTATTTGCTTATTTTGGCCTCTGATATGTAAATGAAATCACCAGCTCCTGAACTTGGCTCCATGTTCTCCCCTGCCTCGTAAATCCAAAGCAAGGGCAGTGTTGCAGGCAATCCACAGCAGACCAACTTCAAAGGCATCTCAGGTACATTTGGGGTGATTTGGGAAGTCTGGCACTGGGATGAAGTGAAGAGACTGCAAGTTAGTGCCATGCTGCCTCTGATGGAGGAGCCAGATCCTGAAGTTTTGCCCCTTTTGGCAGATTTTGCCAACCTCTGCCTCATGCTTTTTGTGGGTAGGAGAGAGTTCTTTTTATCCATGTCAGATGAAATTAGAGGTAATTTGAAAGCAGGGAACAACCAGACAGTTAGAATTTAAGATACTTTTGCTACCAAAAGTGCTGTCACCTGGAACTCTACTGTTAGTGAAGAAAGTGGGAGAACAACCAGGATACTTCGTCAATTTTCAGAGCATCAGTCTAATCAGAGGTTCCACAGAGACTTCAGTGAACTCTTGAATCAAAAGTATCCTAAATTTCCACTTAAACATTTTCCTGTACATCAAATGCTTCCCTCAAATAAGGAAAACATGGACACAAGTCTACTAGACTGCCATTCAGTTCCTTGGTATCACCAGCCAATGGACTAATCATCTCAGGAACCAGTATTTACTTCCTCATTTCTTTCTCTCACCTTTTATAGACTCCATGTAACAATGTCTGTTCAGCAAGTTTCTGCAACTCCCTTCCCTCTGCCTCTGCCTCTGCCCCTACCCCTACCCCTCACCCCAGCTTAAAACTTCCTGGTTGTCACCATGGATGGAAAACACAGCTTATTGTTCATACTGCTTCTGTCAGGTCTTTTCTGCTTTGTCTACTTTGAAAGAACTAAAAAGAGGGCTCAGAGGGGATCATTCTCTTTGTACAGTGAGTCGAGAGCTTTCCATGGCACCTCCTCTCATGAAATGAAGTGATGGCTGTGGAAGAAGAGCAAAACAGATCTTAAACTGTGAAGAGCTATGTTGCCACCCCCAAAGCAGTTTAAAATCCCTCTCCATGTTCCTGATTTGTTACCAGAACACGCTATTCATGCATATGCAGGCTGACTGTCAACATCAGTCTGCACGTGTGACAGCAGTTCTGTGCAGGAGCTCCTGAGGAAAAAAAAAAGAGAAAGTGTGCAAAAGCACCACAGTTACGTGTATCCCCAGGCGTGCCAACAAGCAGGTAGCTGCAGGAAAGTGACTGGTTCTAATTAAACTCCAAACGTAAATAAAAAGACCAGAATTTCAAATGCACCTAACAAAATTAAGAAAAGGTCACAGACACGGCAGTATTTTTTAAAACCTACCAGCTCTGTTTACGAAAACAGATTACTTGTGATTGTGATTGCTTTGTGCACATTCAGCACTAATTGGCTCACAGTTTTGTTGTGTGTTTATGGACTTTGTGAAGTGCCTGTGAAGCACCAGGAAAGGCCCTACGCCTGCCCACAGAGCCACAGGTTGCCAAGTCTGTTCCATCACAAACTTCTGCAGCGGATGAGCAACGTGAGAGGTGGCAGAGGGCACGAGGTTTGTTGGGCCCAGAGCAGGGGAGGCCTGGTGGAGGCCTTATGGAGGGCTGCAGCTCCATCATGGCGCCCTGCAGCTCCATCATGGCGCCCTGCAGCTCCTCACAGGGAGCAGACAGGCAGCTCTGAGCTCTGCAAGAGGGTTTGAGGGAACAGCACAGAGCTGTATCCAGAAGACTCAGGGGATTAGGGAAAGGTTCTGCCCCAGAGGGCAGTTGGCTTGGAACAGGCTGCCCAGCAGGTGTGTCAGCAGGTGTGATGAGAAGCACCTGTGTGCCATTAGGGTCACATAATGGCTGCTCTTTCAGCCTTTCTGTGTGGGGATTTTTGTTTGCTTTCTGGCCAACGGGTTGTTCTGTGCTCAGGAGGTATTCATAATCCTTTTTGGGTTGTTTCTTTTCTCCAGAAATCAAAAGAATTTTCTTCAGTTTCAGCTGAAAGCAATTCCATATTTTGGTGGGAAAGGCCACTTGTCTGTGGTAAACGTGCCTTGATATGAAAGATGTGATTTAACGAAAGTTTAAGTATGCGCTGAAGCAGCCATTCTGATTGCAATGTTTAGGCTGTATTAGTAATTTCTTCTAGTTTGTGAGAATTATACCTCTTTGTAGACACAAGTAGTTTTAAATTCTTTTTACTCATTCATTAAAAATAAACCTGAATTCCTTCACCAATTAATAGTTACTAAGAAAGAAATGCATATATCAGTGTTGACAGTCGCCTGTGAATCAGCACCCAGAGAGCTGTTTGGAGCAGGCAGCATTGCTGCTGTTTGCTGGTGTGCTAAGCAGCAAGCTGAGAGTTGTTTTAGCTGAGCTCCGAGGGATATTGCAGCTTGCCTCATGCAGGCTGGTAGGTGGAAGGCTGGTATTACAAATGTGAAGATGAATAGATATTTTTGGATTGAAATGCGGCTTCAAAGTCAAACAAAAATTACAGACCTGTTTGAGTCTGTTGTAATGACAGTAACCAACAGAAGGAGGAAGATAAAGGTCTTGAGCAGGGAGTTTTGGGGAAGCAGAAGATTGCTAGAAACAGTTTCTGAGATCGATTGATTTGAATAATACTCTTGGGCACAGAGAACATAGAGAGGTAATGCCTGAAAAGAATAAATCAAATATCTCATGATATTTTATGCATTCGTTCCTCTCTAGACTCTGCTTTTAGTTTTCAAAAATATGAACAATTCCAGGCAAGCAGAGAATGGCCTGTATATTTCCCACTCAGTGATGAATAGTTGCATGTTAGCCTGTTCATTTAATGACAGCTATATATAGTTCCCATAATAAATCAGACTCCAGGACACAAATGCCTTCTGTTTACCTTTGAAACACTTTTTTTTTTTTTTTTCTTTCCCTGAGAATTGTGATTGTTGCAAAAGTCTGATATATTCACCCACACACAGCAGCACTCAAACAGCTTGTTACCTGCGGGTTTCAGTCCTGCAAGGTCCTTAGTCCTCCCAGTGCCGCACAATGCCCCAAGACACCAGTGTCTTGCAGGACCTAAGCCTTCACAGTCTGCAGAAAATGAACTCAGCCCACTGCGAGCACTTAAGGGGAAAGTTTAGTCTGCACTTTGCATGAAAAGTCTGTTTTGATCTGACTCTCAGTCAATTAGTTTGATCATTATGTTATAAACACTTGTCATCTTTTGTAACGTGTGCCTTTGAAAAGCAATGCTTGAACTTCTCAGCCCCCAAAATAGCGTACTTTTAACCTGAAGTTACACTATGACTTCTCTATACAACAATTAACTGATACATTTCTAGACATACATATACTGAAATTCTCTTTGATTTTAAAAATTAGCAATATTGAAAGATGCACACATTAAGTCACTCTATACCATCTTAAGTTACAACTGTGACTTCTAGATAGCGATATAACACTAATCATCATCTAATAAGAACATCTGAGTCATACCTGCAGGATGAGAAGCACATGAGATGCATTCTTGCACTGCTCCAGCTCCAAAACGTTATTCTCAAGAGAAAAGAGGGCAATTTCTATCTGTTTTTATTTATTTTGAGAAAACTTTCCATGCAAATAAATGTAGTACAAAGTACTGAGAACTGCCGAAAGACATACAGATTATGTATATTTTTATAGCCACAAAGTCATTCAAATGACTTAGCTTCCATTTCATTGTTTGGCATAGATCACTTATTGTGCATATGTTTTCAGATGGAAATGCTGAATTAGACTGTGGCGAAATGGATAATGCAACCCTGATGCTAGCATGAGCTAATAAGAAACCAGCAATGAATCTACTGCTGCAGATTGAAGTACATGCATTTCATATTATTACTCAAGGCTTGTCTCTCCAATTAGATGATTGCATAACCTTAATATTATAAATCTTGCATGATGTGAATTGTTCAGCTGTAACCATAATCAGTTTTTACTAAGGTGGCATTTCTGTCATCTTGTTAAACACAAACATTATATATGTGCTAGTCATAATTTTATAACAGTTGCTTTTAGCAAGAGACGGTTTTGTCAATCGAGAACCACAGTTTAGCACAGAGATGCAATGAAAGTGCTCAAATTGCTTGTAATGTCAGTGTTTGCTTCAGAAAATATCGCTTTGTAGGTTCTTTCATTTTCTGAGCGCAAATTTCTCTTCAAAAGAAATGGAAAAACTTGCAAGCTCTTAGACAGAACTCTCTGAAAACCGCTTTGCAGATCTTCTGAGACCCAGGTTTATTTAATCAAGTGGAAGCTGCATGCTCTGCAGAAGCTGTGGCACCCTGTGGACCTTTTCCAGTGCTGCGACTCAGCTCGGAGAGCCCCAGGTATTTCAACCCCATTTTCCACACAGGAAACACGGTTGATCTCCTCGTCTGTAAATTACCACTGGAAGGGCTTTATGGAGATGCCACTGCCACCTGCATTTAAGGGTTTAAGACCCCCTCTATAAACCTCAGCAAGGTTCTCCACTCCTATCAATTCACCAGGGATTTGTGCAGTTAAATCTCGCAGCGGGTGATAAATTTCCCGGCATATCATGGGATGAAGAGGACCCGTCTGGCACTGATACACTGATCTTGGTGGGTTGAGTCCAACTTATCTCTTCGACAAATTTATTGCCTTCATTATGTGCTCTGGAGAGAAAAAGCCAAATCCTTGCCTTGTAATGGCCACTTTCCTACTTTTTAACTGTACATCTTGCGTTGAGATGAGCCTTAACAATGAAGAGCAGGCTGAAGAGATAAAAACGATTCAGGCAGTTCCATGTGCTGTAATGTGCAGAAAGCCGAAAGACTGCATAACCAGGGTCATGGGATTACGAAAGAAGAGTTACAAGCTCTCCTCAGCTCCCTGGCTTTACAATAAATCTAATCAAGGGAGATTTCTCATTAGTCCTAATAGAAAAGAAAACAGTGCTATATTCAATAATTTCATACTCAAATCACATCTTAGGTCTAAGCTAGCAGAAAATCTAAGGCTAAATAACTTTTATCAGATGGTCTGTTGACATGATTTTCTTATCAGTGCAGTGGCCTGTTTGGAACAAAAGAGCGGTTTCTGTTTCGAGCATGTTTAGCATCACTGGCACATTTGTCAGTGTAGAAATCGGTGTCTTCAGAGACAACTACCAGACGTGAGGCCAAGGTAAGTGGGGAACACCAGAACTACAAGATTTGACTGCACAGTGCCCCTGCACAGAGATAAAGTTACCCAGGGACTCCCTGATTGCTCGCAGCCCAAGCAAGGCTGTGCCAGTGAAAGTTCATATATTTACCAGCCATTTCAAAGCCACTAGTGCAAATCAGAGGTTTTTCTGGCAGCTGCTTGCTCTCAGCCTGTAGCTCCTGCTACACTAGGAACTGCAGAGCCTTGTTAGGCAGTTATCACCTGAATGGTCCAGAGAGGGACCTGCAGCAGCCTCCTGCTCCCAAAACCTCTAAACACAGTGCAAGTCCAGGCTCACACCTTAAATTCCATACCCAGCTTTTACTGGAGATGTATTTCACAAGCCCATTAGGGGGAGGAAGGGTTGGCTTGTGTGGCTACTTGTCCCGCAATAAACCCCAGCCAGAAGTTTGTCTGCAAAGTTTGCTGTGCTGGAACCCTGACTGACACTGGGGTGGATTTCTAACGTGGTTGAGAGAAAAAGATAGTTTTTAATATCAGTTAAAAAAAAAAATGTATGGCTCCTATAAACTGTTAAAACTTCACTTTATTGATCATAAATCTGTGTTTTGCTCAATGCAAAAGTTTTTCATCTTACACGGAAAAATGCTGAAGCAGCTGCAAATGCCAAGAACACAAAGTTTTCTCTCTTGGACAATTTATAGGGAAGTTATTGGATTTTTTGTTGTTGTTTAAAAGCATTCCTACTACACTGTGCTTGCCTACTGGGTTTGGAGAAATTGCCTTTCATTGCCAAGCTTTGTCTCTGACCTTCTCTGATAGGAAAAGACTTGAAAAATAAAGCTAGCCTCTTTTACATACTGCTGGAGTTGAAAGGGTTGAGTAGGATAAGAAATACAAGCAATGGGAATGAGGGTTCAGTAAGATCAGTGAAGGACGTACGCTTTTGCAAACGTGCTGCTGACGTAGTGCACAGGTAGCAAAACTGCTGTACAGCACAGAGCTCACTGCAGACAGACACCTTGTGCCCATGGTCCCATGGTCCACCCTTAAAACCACCCCAAAACACGATGGATGCTATCAGAGGAGGACCATCAGGGGACTGTTCTGGGGGTGAATGTGGCCCTGGGGTACATCCCTCTGCTCAGTAGCTCTGGGCACAGACCAATCTGTGTCCCAGTCTCTCCTTCTACAAGTGGGGTAATGCACCTTGGGACTGAGAGATTAACAGCCCTGTCTTGATACTAATGATCTGCAAAGGTGCAGAAGGTGCAGAGCAGGGCAAAGAAATCTTGAGTTGTGAATAGTGAAACACAAAACTGGAAGGAAAAAATAGAGCATTCTAGACCAACCAAGGGTGGAATTGAGACAGGGGAGCTTCACCCTGTGAAGCACGTATTTAACATGGGTAATCTTTACAGAATTGTAGAATATCCAGAGTTGGAAGGAACCCACAAGGATCACCAAGCCCAACGCTCAGCTCCACATGGGACCACCCAAACCCATACCCTGTGTCTAAGAGTGCTGTCCTAATACTCCCTGAGCTCGGGCAGCATGGGGCCGTGCCCACCACCCTGGGCAGCCTGTGCCATGCCCACCACAGGGCAGAACCTTTTCCCAATTTCCAACCTGACCATCCCCTGATGCAGCTCCGTGCCATTCCCCCGTGTCCTGTGTCAGCAGACTGAATACACTTAGTCTCCTAGGATATTTTTTTTTCCTTGAAAGCCCATTGAGGGGGAGAAGTAATAGGATAAATGTTTCTGTTTTTCTTTTTTTCTTTTGCATCCAATTATTGCAAATCATATTAATTATGCTTTTTTTTTCAGTTGTAGCCTGGAAGCCCCCTTTTTTCTGCTTGTTCTCCATCGTGTTGTACATTAGTTCTCTGTGCTTCCCTACAGTGGTCAGCACCTCCATCGAGATAATGGACTGGATCATCACCTGGACAGCATTTCTCTTCAGTCATAAATCATGATGGGAATACTATAAACAAAAGCTATGAAATATGAACCTGCATAAATAAAGGAAGGGAAGGACTGAATTGCCTGGGGAAATCTGTGCAAAGAAAGGGGGGGGGGGGGAGACTTGCACTGCCAGAGGAACCTCAACAAATGCATATGCTGATTTTAAAGTTTAACTGTTACTATTATTATTAAGATTGGCCTGCTCATGTGTCTCACAGGAAGAGACTTTGTTCTTCTTTCTGCTAATTTCATGTGCTTTCTGTTCCTCTTGGGCTTTACTTTTATTTCTGTGCTTTTCCCACTTCTAGTATTTCTGTCTACAAATACCTTTGTTATTTCATCATCCTTCCAGCACACACGGCCCCGGCTCTTGGTCAGTTTCTTCTTCCTTTGCCTCTGTTCTGCTAAATTCATGTACTTCTCAGTACCAAGCTGAGACCTCCAGACAGCTCCTACAGCAAAAGACGTGGGTCACACAAGCCTTGAGCTTTAGCTCTCATTCTTGTTCAAAAGCTGGGATAAAACACGTCAGCATGCTTCATTAAACCCAAAATGTCAAATCATCCTTCACAACCACCAAGCCATCACGAATACAAGCAGCTCTATGGTTTTGGAGAATTTTGTGATAAAGGACACAGCATTTAGCAGATGGTGCTATTAGGAGGAAGAGTAAAAGAAGGAGGAGGGGAGAAGAATGTTAAAAATTGTGAAAAAATGAATAGCCTTGAAGTCCTAGATGGTGTAGGGATTCCTTGATGCTAAAATTGTTGTTAATCTTGTAGATGAAATTTTACTCTTTATTGAAACAGAGGCGAAGGGGAAGAGAATGCATCACTGCTTTACACTGTAACTGAAGCAAAACTGCATGTCCAGTCCACTGAGGAGACAGCTCTGTTTTCCTGAGCATCACTGCAGACATACCAGGAAGTCTGGAATACTTTGGGATGTAAAATTTTGAGCAGTTATTTTAGATATGTCATATCCAGCGCTTGACCTTGCTGTTCTGAGGCCACTTCTGTATGATGACTGAACTGCTGAGCACTTATTTAGCTTAATACTGGCTGCCACTGCTAATTCCCTAGCCTGTGGGATCCAATACTTTGTGTTTCATAGAGCTGAAAGACCCTATTTTAGAAAACAGTCGTATCAAAAACTGATGTCAGTACATCACCACTCTTTCAGAGAAGGACTTGACGAACTCTAGCTTTTAGTGTTTTATTGAATGTTCAGCTCAGTTTCCTTCTTATGAGCAAGGATTTTTGCATGGGTGTAGTTTTACTTTCTAAAATAACAAACTTCTGTCTGTTTGGTGATGTGTGTATATCAGAAGACGGGGTAAAATAAACAGACCGCGGGGCTTTGATTTGCAGCACGGTTAAGCAGTGCAGGTAGAGCTGTGTTTCTTTTGGATCAGCTGCTTTGCTTCGCCTTTGCAGCGCACTTCATAAATGCTGCAGACAGGTTTTTCAGAGCTTATAAACTTAGCAGAAATAAAAAGAACTAAGGGGCCTGACAACTGAGAGAACTTTATAAGTGCCACTGAAAGCCAGCGGGTCCTCAGCTCCTGGGAAGTATATCAGAGCCCTTGCAGGGTTTATAAATTCTGCTTATTTACTGGCAGGTTTCCATCCTGGTCATAAAAGCCATAGGTCAAAAAGCTCTGTTAGATGGGGAACACGAAACCCAGCTTTCATTTAACTCCAGCTTCTTGCACAAGGCTCTGTAGCTCACCAGTGCAACTGTGGTGTACAGACCTAAATGTCACTGGGAACCCATCTCAGGACAAGTGTCCATAGCTCCTGGCTCTGTATAGAGCAGATCCCTGAAGAAGTGAGCTCCTGATCAGGCTCTATTTACATCAATCTTTGCTCTTTACAACAGGGGAAACCGTGAAGGCTTGCTCAGGTTCGGCTTTGTCCCTGTTCATCTTAACCCACTGCCTGGGCTGTTCCCAGCCCCTGGGCTGTGAATCGATCTGCTGTTTCCTTCACCTTCATGCACCCATCTCCATCTCATGAATAGACCAATTTGTGCACAGCAAGCAGCTCCTCCCCTGTTCTGAATCCCTCAGTATTGCTGTGGGCAGGAGGAGGAGGAATCACCAGATCACACTGGGTCCTTCTGAGTCCTGGCTCAGCTCCACCCCAGCTGACAAGCCCCTTTAATGGATAGGCAGTGGCCTTCAGTGGAGAGGCTAAATTTAAAACTTTCCTCTGCTTCTCTTGTCAAAGTTAAAAGCTTTTCATGCCTGTGTTAATGTTTCCTTTTTTTCTTTTTTTTTTCCTCCTGTCTGCTGGCACCAGTGACAAATACTACATCTTGCATTGAGTAACAGTATATTGAATGGCTGGCAGAAGCAGAATACGGCACCTGTAATTTATCTCCGGGAGTTTGGGTTGGATGACACTGCTGGGAACAGACTGGAGCTCTGAGCTGTCACCTGATTACTAATTCTAGGATTTCTCCTCCGAGAGTGAGAAGGAGTGAGCTAGGATGAAGGGTACAAAAAGCAAATCAATAAACAGGTTAGTGTTTGCATCATTATTAACACTCGGGCTGTCAACACACCCATTGAAACTATCGCTCAGGGCAGCTTCAGATTTAATGGTCAGTGTAACAGATTTACTGTAAATGTTAGCTAAGGCATAGCAAGGAGTGGGGGGGGGGTTCACTGACAAATAACAGAGATTTCAGTGGGATGCATGAAGCTGTTTATGTGTGTGCATAAATAACGCGGTGATCGGCGCTCGGAGGCGGGTGGCTTTCTGCAGTATTTCTTCCTGCAGGGCTGTGGCTTGTCCCTGCCCGCTGCCTCCCCTCCGGCAGCCCAACACAGCCACACATCAATTGAGTCACGGGGAGCTTTGATCTCAGGAACCCATCACAGACCCTGTAATAGCCTGGAGGAGGGAGGGGAGGGAAGGATGATGCTGCACGCTGAGTCAGCTCATGGAGTTGGGTTTTGTTGGCTTTTGCTCCTGTTGTCTTCTCTTCTCCACAGACAAAGTCATCTTTGCAGAGGTTCCTTAGGAGAGCTTGTGCCATTCCCTCTTCCCTGACAATGGGTCATACCTCCATGGGTAATGGACAGTGGGTCTTCATGCTTTCCACAAGTAACAAACAACCAAGCAGCTCCTCTATAACTGAACATGTGATCAAGTGTTTCTGCTTAAATTACCAGTGAAATGCTAAATCTGTGACAGAGTAAATTGGCTGAAGATGAATCCTCCTGACTCCTGTCCGTGCTGCTGCTTTTCCAAATGAAAACCCTCATAAAGAAACTAAGCTGGTTGAAAGGAGAAGCACCTAAGTTCACATGGTGGAGGGTTTCCAGGATTGCTCTGTCATCCAGTTAGACTCTTCTTGAGGAATACTCTGCTGCTTCTTTTTTTTTGTTTGTTTTTAAAAGGTTCCCACAGGCACACGTCTGATGGTGCTCCAGTCTCCATAATAACTGTTTCTGCTCAGTGTTGCTGCCAGGAGAAGGGACCCAGAGGCTGAGGGCAGCACACATATGCTCAGAACTGAGGGCCGCTCACCGCCCTGTAGGTGTGAGGCTGTTGGCAAAACTGCTGCTCACTGCTTTCATCCTTCCAAACTGCATCTTCATCACCTGTCCTCCATGCAGACATCTGGCATAGGCTAAGTCTCCTGGCCTCCAGAATGAAAAGGTCCATGCTGGGATCACCTAAACCAATTGGACTCTGCCACCAGAGAATCACAAAATCGTAGAATCATTAAGGTTGGAAAAGACTGCTGAGATCATCAAGTCCAACTGTCAGCTCATCACCACAATGCCTGCTAAGCCATATCCTTAGAATGGACTCAAACAATGTCAGATGCTTGAGTTTCTAGATATATCCTAAAAATAACCCAGCAAAGATCTTTCAGATGCTTCTTGTAGGAAACTTCCATTCAGAGCAGCTAAAGAGAGAGAGACAGCAGAAGCTTGCAGTCGCATTTGAGGCTGTTTGAGAGCTGTGTGTATGCAGGACATGGAGCAGGGCTCAAGGAAGGGGTGAGGCTGGTCACTTAGGAGATATCTTAGGAGCATGAGTAGCACAGCTGCCTTTCTTTGGTCTGTCTCAGACTTACCTAGTTGCCCTCAGCATTTCAAGATGTTTTTTCAGCTTATCTTCCTAGTGCTTCCTTTAATCTGCATCCTATTGACTATGGCAAGAACAAGCATTAATTGGAGCAAGCAGCATCTGACAATTTTTGTTTAAACTGTAGAAGACTCTTCCCTGATGGGAGATGTTCAGTAACCAAAGAGAAGACAAAAAACAACAAAACCTGCACATGGGCTGCTGTGCTGCAGATAATCCAGTGGAGAGCAGCCCTGGAGCTGCAGGTGTATTTGGACAAGGTGACCTCACACCGAGCACGTTAGTTGTATTATCGGCCTATAAGCTCTCTCGCTGCTTTACGTACCCGTATGGCCCACATACTGAAGGAGAAGATTAGCTTGATTATCAATGGGGGAATGAGCCAAACAATTACTTTCATTATTGAATATCCAATTAATTATTCAAGAGGCCAATCAATTATTCATATCTCATTTAAACTGGGCAGGGGGAGAAGCGTTGCCACTTGGCAGAGATGTTCACAGCCTCTTCAGATACAGCAACAACTCTGCTGCAGTGGGGTGGAATGGTGGTGGGAGCAAAAGCCAGGCCCCCAGATGATTTTCCCAACGGATGTCCTTCATTATTGCCTTGCAGCACAGTCCACAGCCCCTTCTAGCTCAGCACTGATGAGCAGTAATAGAATCATTAAGGTTGGAAAAGACCTCTAAGATCACCAGGTCGCACCCCACCACCTCCCAATGCCACAGACCACATCCCTCAGTGCCACATCCCCACAGCTCCTGAACACCTCCAGGGATGGTGATGCCACCACCTCCCTGGGCAGCTGTGCCACTGCATCACCACACATTCAGAGTTTTTCCTGAAGCCCAAGGGAGCAAAGCCCGTGCTGTGGGAGCACTGATGCATTGAGGACATGGAGGTATTTGCTTTTATTTCAAAGAAGGAAGAATGCTCCAATTGATAAAGCAAGGGGGAACCTTCTGAAGAAATCAGACTCCACACTTTTTCAGTATCTTACAGCATAATGCATAATTTTTATCAGCAAAATATTGGTGTCTTGCTTCCTTCATTTAAATAATTAACAATAACCCTCTGCTTGCATTTGTTTTGCTTTATCATGTATATTGTGCCTGTGCATGGTGCAGGATGCAGGACTACACCCAGAGTGCAAATGGCATAGAAAAACCAAGGTCTGGGAGCTCTGCCCTTTCATCAAACCACCCGCACAGGCAGCCACAGCTGGCTGCAACTGCTCCAAAGGCTGGGAATCATCAGGAATCACACCATGTGTGTGTGCAAGACAAATGTGTCCCTGGGACATTTCATGCCTGGGAATGCTCCATCTCCCTGCTCCCTCACACAGTCACCCGTCCTCTCTGCAGCCAAGGCCCAGCCCTCAGCTAATCTCAATTTTATTTTATTTGTTACACAAGCAGATGTGAGTGATACCATATTGGAAACAAATTGTCAATTACCAAACAATCAAGCCCTCCATTTGTTTGTTAGATTGGCTCTCAAATAGTCCGATTAATTATAACAGCACTAATTATTAAGATACACTGGTAGTCATCTCCTATTTCAGAGAGAAGGAGAAAGTACTTCCTTCTGCATTTGCTGTCACACTGTAGCAGCCTCATCCAATAGGGCGATTTATCTCTGTCAAGCCAGTAAAATGATAATGCCAATTAAATCACACAAGTAATTGCTGCGTGGTCCCAGTGGATTTCCCCCAGCAGCCCGGTGAATACGAATGCTGCTGTGCAAGGAGCCCCATGCCCACCCCACCGTCACACTGGGCACCCGAGGGCAAATCTGTCCCCTGCAGCACATGTCACAGCCAGCAGTGGGGAAAGTCACTTGATTTCAGCTAGGGTTGCCCTTGAGGACCCATGGCTCTCGGTCTGCTCAGACCTGAGCTGCGTGTCCTTAGCCCCTTCAACCAGAAACTCAGCTGAGCTTCCAGCCAGGGTCAAGTGAACGGATAAACTGTAAAAAATACGTATGTGCAACACATACACACATGCAACCTAGTCCAGAGAAGCCTGGTTAATCACATCCACGGCTGAGAAAGGATGTGTATCCCTACTTCCCACCCTGTGCCTTCCGCTAGCTGTGAGGAATCGACATCTCTGCATCTGGGCAAACCTCACCTGAAAAGAACGGTGTGATCTAACCCAATCTTGCTTCTCATTCAATTAAACCCTGTGAAAGCAGGCACGTAACCTTGTTAATACCACATTTATTAGAGGGAAGGGGGACAGAAAATTAAGATATACTTCATGCTGTTGCTAATTAGAAAAATAGAGACTTTGCATCTGTGCAAGGCAGAGCAACATGTGGCATTAACAGATGTGAACTCATTACACAGCTGCATGGAAGGAAATTGTGCCACCACAGTGACAAAATCTCAAAATCAGATTTCTCCCCAGTTCTCAGCTTCTTTTCATCTCCAGAAGTTTGTTCTGTTTTATTCTGCTGTTGCTTCTCTCTCCCCGCCCCCCCTTCTCCCTGCTCCATCTTAGAAAGCAGGGGCAGTACTTGGAAAGATTTGCTGCCCACCTCCTGGGAAGCTCCGAGCAGAACTGCAGCGAGTTGAGCACGGGCACTGGTTCCTGGTAAAGTGCAAGCAGGAAGTGCTGCATGGCCAGAATAGAGTTTCTCCTGCCTGCCTCCAGTGCAGGGATCCCTGCAGGGGGAGAGCAAGGAGATCACAGGCTGCCCCCTCCCTGGGGTTTTCCACTCTGCAAAGTGAAGGAAAGTGGGAGTAATACCTTAAACGAGGTGTCACAGATAGAGTGCTTCAGATCCTCCCCCTGAGAGCTGCCTAACACCACAAGTCCACTTGCCATCAACAGCCAAGAGCAGCCAAACAGCACGGCAGTAGTTGCTTCTGTATGGTTTTCTCCGTGCATTCTGCTCAGTGTTTTGTCTCTGGTACCGAAGCCAGTCCCCAGGGGCTGTTAGGAGCCTATGGAAAGAAAGCAGAAGTCAGCCTTGGGATTCCTCTGCTACAGGCTTATTGCTCTCCGGCACAGTTGAGAGCAGCCGAGAAAAGCAGCTGCGTAAAAATGCAACAACTTTGCAAGGTACCATTTCTGTCTTACTCAGCCGGGTTGTCTGACAAAGCTCTTCCCTTCATTTGCACAGGCAAAGAGGCAGGCAGCGTGGATTTTACCCTAGCTGCTCTGAGCAGCTGCTGTAGCAATGTTCCTCACTCCTTCCTCATTTTCTTGGGGCCCTTTATCCTTCCTTTGTCCCATGCAAACACATTGCGTGCAGCACACAAACCCGTCACCCCACACACTGTGGAGGCCTTCAGTCCCTTTGTGCGGGCTGTTTCATTTCATAGACTCAAGGGTCACTTTTATTGTGGTCTCTGCTAAATGAAATCACAAAAGCAATTTAAAATCGCTTAAGCAAATCATGAAAGATGCAATATGAGGAAAGGGCTGTGAATAATGGTTAGCCTAAAGCATTGCAACAAAGGGAGTGACTGTGCTCCTGTCAGGTCCTTTCTCTTGGTCTGTATCCTTCATGCTGAATTCCTCATCTCCTGCCTCAGATTTTGGGCAGGAACTCATCACAAGGGAAAGACACTCTTATCAGATTTCTAACATTGCCTGCTATTCTTCATGGGAAATGATCTCCAGGATGTAAAGAGAGCTGCACCTGAGTACAGCATTTCAGATATGCAGTAGCCAGAAAAATAAGAAGAAAAACACAAGATTCCAATTTTATCTTACAGTGATTTTTCTGGGAGAAAAGCAACGCCATCATACTCTGTGCACTTCATCTTTATCTGACCATCTGACATTTCACAGTACCTGCCAAACGTTGTCCTGGAGCTCAATGGTCCAACATAGAACGAAGGCTGAGAGATCAATTTTCTGCTTCCCATCTCTATTCCATCGCATTATCAGGGATATGCATCACAGGATATTTTTGTTGTCACTTGCATGGCACTGCTCTCCATGTTACCGTAACCTCCAAGCTGAGCGACCACGTTAGCTCAGCTTTTCCAAGGTGCTCAGTGCAGCCCAGAGAAGACCTTTCTATCTCTTCCCTCAAGAAATGATTCAGTAAATGCTTTCAGCATCCATGCCAAAATAAACACTCTCCTTATAAGCATATGCTTGATAATAACATTTCTCACTTCTTCAATTAGCTCAGATAATCTCGCTAAAAGCTATTAATAAACCACCTTTAGCAGAGGGCACATGTGCACCTGTGCTTGCAGGAAGACAAGCCATCTCTGGTAGAGTGAGAGCGTCAATGAGAAATGAACTGCCTGAAATTAACTTTAAGCATAAGTGATTAAACCATTGTGCAGTGATTGTGTACGATACTCCCTTCCTTTAGCAATTAGGGATGTATTGATCAGATACCGTAAGGAAAGGGACTGGCAGAGTCATATTCATTCAGGCTGCCATAATTAAGAGTGATCATCTATTGTTGTGGAGCACGCGCAGCCCAGCCCCGCAGCCGCATGGACACGTGGATGGAGCATCTGCTCAAAGGCAGAGCAGGAAGCTGGCTGAAGTTGCTCTGTAGCATCAGGATGAAATCCATGTCTTCCCCCATCAAGAAAAAAACACCTCCTAAAAGAGATCACCCTGCTTTCATAATGAATAGTGGTTGATAGTGCTTTTTCTTTTTTCCCCAGTATATATTCAAGCCCATCTCCTGCACGAAGATGCCACTTGAATCCGGCTACTTGAGCCTGTCTTTCTTAGATAACTTGTTTCTTGCAGCTTCTAAGCAGCTGTGCGACTCTGCTCTACCCTGGTTCATGGCTCCAGCCTGTGACAACTGGCATGGAGTAGCAGCTGTCAGACTGTATAGAATCATAGAGATGCAGAATTACTAAGGTTGGAAAAGACCTCTAAGATCAGCTAGTCCAACCCCAACCCACCATGCCTGCTGACCACATCCCTCAATGCCACATCTCTGCAGTTCTTGAACACCTCCAGGGACGGTGACGCCACCACCTCCCTGGGCAGCTGTGCCACTGCATCACAACTCTTTCAGAGAATAAATTTTCACTAACATCCAACCTGAACCTCCCTTGGCAGAACTTCAGGCCATTCCCTCTCCTATCACTGTTACCTGGGAGAAGAGGTCAATCCCCACCTCACATAACCTATTTTCACGTCATTGTAGAGAGCAATAAGGTCTCCCCTGAGCCTTCGCATCTCCAGACTGAACCATCCCAGTTCCCTCAGCTGTTCCTCATAAGAATCCATTGTGCTCCAGTCCCTTCACAGCTCCACTGTCCTTCTCTGGGTTGAGTGTCTCAATGTCCTTGTAGTGAAAGGCCCAGTATGTTCATTATTCCTATGAGAGCAGTCCTTCAGCATTTAAACTCTTGTGGTAAGAGATATTTCCTTGCATACTTGTGCTAGTTTCCCACATCATTTCTCAATGTATTGATGTTGCTTACTCTGAGCCTCAGAAGTCTGACACGTATCAACAAAGGTGTGATAACTGTTGGTTTGGGAAAGGTTAAGGGATATTTCCTCATGAAGACCACAGAACACAACAGTTGGAAGTGATGCAGTGGTTTATTATTCATCCACAAGACCTTGCAAATTTTGCTGGCGTCTGAAAAAAAAGAGAGAGTCAATCACCGATATTTTCTCTTTCTGCTGTGGATATCAAATTTGAGACATAAAGAGAAAGGATTTGGAATTGTGGGAGACATTCTGTGCCACAGAAACAAACCAAAAAAGACAGCCCAGCATCCAGCCTGGCGCTCCAATACCAAGAATCTCTATTTCTGGTTGTTATATGTGAGTATAGTAATGTCATTTTCATATTTTCAGTATCTGTCCCACTCAATCTAAAAGGATAGACTGGCAAGTAGGGATGGTGCAGGAGTGTCTGGTCATGCAGTCCATGTTCACATAGAGCCTTCCTTTGATAAAAAATGAAGGACACAGTCCTGCACTCTCGTTTGGACAGGATCCATCCATTTCAAACACATCTCACTACTTCATTCACACTTTATGTTCTACCAGATATGGTATGGCTTCATCACTACCATCCCAGTTCTCTCTGCCTTGGCCCTCCCTGCTCATCACTGCTCACCTCTACATGAGCTGCTGTTCTCCACTGAAAGTGGTTCTCCTTTCTTCCTCTCAGTGGGGAGCACTTGCATTCCCTTCTGTTTGACAAAACCCATGCCCCACGTAACCAGTATGCCCAGGTGCTGCACCATGCCATTCTGTTTTGCACAAGTTCTATTTCCCTGTATACTTTGCACTGCCTGAGCTGCTGCAGGAAGAGATGGAGATCTCTTCTTTCTCCTCTCTCTCTCACACAGCTCTGTGTTACTCAACAGCTCATGCCCAGGCAGAGCAAAGGGTTAAGCATGAAGAACTGGAAGAGACTGTGCTGTCCTGACACAGCGCTGCCCTTTTGCCTCTTCCTCACACACACACACTGTTCACATAGCCTGCATTCCTCTCCAGTTAACACCATTAAGCTTTGACCTGAACGAGAGATAGAGCTAAATATGTGTGCACCTGTCCTCTTATAATGACCTGCTATTATCATTTTCCACCCCTCTTTTTTGATTGATGGATATTATATGCATAATGACCCTCGGGATTTTTTTTCCCTTCTTTTTGTTAGGCTTTGCTAAAGCAACCTGCAAATTAATTTAATATCCTCTTTTGGTTGGGAGCTATGAAACGAGGGCTCGAGGCTGATGATGCGTAAACCATTTGTGGCATGTATTTAATCTCCGGACAATGGATAGAGATGTTAGTGCATGCTACACTAAGTTCTATTTACGCTGGCTATTAAGTGCAGTCAAGCTGAAGGCAATTGGAGCACATTACAGGGCCTAATGGGAGAGGATGCTACACAACAGTACATTAAAGACTGAAAATGAATTAAGAAGGAAGCATGGCAGAGAAAGCAGACAAGGAAAGGGTTCTGTATACAGATAACTCTTATTGACAGCACAAATATTCATGTACTCTGAGTTCCCAAATCCAATTTTGGTATTGGATACCACTCTAGAGGGAACGTTTTGAACTCCATTTTCATGCAGATACACAATGACTTGCAGTCTGCCCCCTCCCACCATGCCCTCAGCAGCTTGCATAACCTGATGCTGGGAAGTACATCCCTGGTGCAGACTAAGCTGGATTGTTCCTGACAAACCAAACCAGACGGACATTTTATTCCCACTCCTGAAAGTGCAGCAGGGCCCAGGAGTTCAGAACACACCTTGCTGCACTCCCACTTCTGGCTGTTTTCTCAGCATGTTTTCCTCTGGTTGCTGCACAGTGAGAAAATTCATTCCCCCTGGGAAAGACGGGTGAAAAATGCACTGTAGGAGCAGCAGATGAGTTGTGAACACCATGTCTTAGCTTCTGTTTTTTTTCTCCTATTACTGTGGTGAGAAAAATGTAGAGTTGACAAAAAACTGGCCTACTGTCTTTTCAATATCAAGATCCAAGAACCTAAGATTACATTACTTTATCCACTCCTCACCATGCACACAGAATCCTGGGAGTTTGTTTCAATGCATAAAAATCTCCATCACAAGAAACCGACTTGCTGTGCTCCCCTGAATAAAGTTGGTCTGGTTTCACTGTTGGAAGAAAAACCCAGCTTATATTTAAGAGCTAGCTTATGCATGAGAAAGAGAAGCAGTGATAGCCTCCTGAAAGCATGAGGGCCCTCACAGCCCTGCTCAGTGTTCCAATAAAGCTCTTCCACCATCAGGCTGTGGCTATCACTGTTCCCATGGCAGGGATTCACGCCAGATTGTAGAATGGCTTGAGTTGGAAGGGACTTTGAAGGTAAGCTAGTTCCAGCTCCCTGCCACAAGCAGGGTTGCCAACCCCAAGATCAAGTACTAGATTAGGTTACCCAGGGCCCAACTAAGGTGGCCTTGAACACCTCCAGGGACTGGACATCTTCAACCTGAACCTCCCCTGCTGCAACTTGAGGCCATAAATAGATGCACACTCAGCAAAGAACCAATCCTGAACCCATATTTAGACAGGACAAGGGAGTTTTGCTTCAGAACAGGAATATGTTAGTGAACAGCTTTTAAGGACTCCAGAATCTTACCACCTCCTCCTCTTCCCATTCCTTGGAGTACCAATATAGAGTAAGAGCATAAAGGAATTGCTTTTCACTTAGAAAGTTTATTCTAAAAGCATATCTGGCAATAG